TTGTTCGTCATCCGGCGTGGATAATTGCTTTCTCTCCTCCTCATCATCATTTGGCAATGGTTTTCGTTCTATTTCCGCATTTTCTACAATAGAAAAACTATCATCAGTGGTATAAATTGAATAGATGTTACGAAACTGTGGTGCATCTGGCGTAGACGTAGTCAGTTCTGGTGCACTAGTACTACTTTGCTCAGTCGATGCATTTATATATTCGTTGAATTCTGCTTCATCTGAGAAGCCTGGTACTTTGTATTGTAAAGCAGAATCTAACGCGTGATTCCAAAGTAAAACGTCTACTGTATTGGTCTCAGCATCTTTCACATTAGGTATATCGTCGCTGTCCCCTTTATTGACGAGAGGTATATCGCGCATCTCATGGTCCTCCTTCTGTTCTACTTCTTCATCGGAAAATGTTTGGTCAGGTACATAGCGAAGAAGGGGGACATCCGAATCCCCATTTGACAAGAGTCTTAATACATGTTTTTCACTGCCGCGCTGCTTGCTACTTACGCTTGCATTAGATTGTGCGATATTGTTATTTTCCGGAGTTTTTCTCGTACTGTCCAAAGAGAGACGTAAGATCGGCATCTGACTCTGATCTGTAGTCAAAGTTAAGACCTTTGGCTGTTGTATATTTTCTACAGACCAGATTTTATTGGTAGTGTTGCTCGGTAAAGGATCTCGTAACTTTTTCAATGCCTCATCAAACTCATCCGCAGGCACAGTATGTCTAAGGTCGCTGTCGCTACCGGTCACAGGTAACTTCTTTTTAACGTTCTTCTCCGACGTTTGCGCTCCCATTGACCATTCTGCGTCGGAATCAGGATCGATATGTACAAGCACCATAAGATCTGTTACAGACTTGGACTTCTGTTTAACTTTTTCAGTATATACACCCTGCTCGATTCGACCCTTCCAGCTTTCTTCCTCGGTTTCCGAGCCAGATTCTTGAAATATCGTGGCAGTCTTCATTTTGGGGATATTCCTCACTTGTTCGTCAGGTCCAAGACGAAACGAAGACTGTAATGAGTCTGTTGTTTGTGCGTCATCCACGATATGAGTCCAGTAGTCGGAATCGATACTACCACGTAAATCTTGTAAGCTAGCACTGCGTACATGCTGTTTGCAAGTATTTGCGCGTAGACTGTCCCATCGTCGCTCAAAATCTATATGTGTCGATTGTTCATTCAGAAGAATCAGTTTTACATCGTCCAAGGAAGGTCTGTCTTTCGCATTGACATTCAAACACATGCGAATCATTTGAAATATATTTGGCGGACAATTAGTGAGATAATTTTGCAGCAGTTTCGTGCCGTTTGGCACAAATTGATTTTTCAGAGATAAAATCATCTGAATAACCTGTTCGTCGTTCATATCGTTGTAAGGTCTTTCTCCCCAATTAGCGATCTCCCAAAGGAGAACCGCATAACTCCACATATTGGCTTGTAACGTGATCTCTTGCGTTTCGATGGTAGTGTCCGTACAGTTCAAACTTTCTGGCGCGGACCATCTGATGGGTAAGGCTCGGTCTCCTACTATATAATAGTCCTCAGGATATTTCTCTACACCGGTACCGTAATCACCTAACTTAGCCGATAAGTCTGGAGCAACCAAACAGTTTCTCGCGGAGAGATCCGTATGTGCGAAGCTGTGACTATGCATGTGTTTTAAACCAGATGCAATATCTATCGCAATTCGTATTGGAATATTTTCCTTGGCAAGTGCTTCTCTTGACTTGCTATCGTGGTTTGAAAGTAAGAAACCTTTTAAATCGCCAGCTGGACACGATTCAAACAGTAAAAGGTATGGATCGGTTTCTAGGCAAAACCCAAGTAAAGCTAAGACATTTTGGTGACGTAGTTTTAAGTACGGCGTGGCCTCGCCAAGAAACCAAGCCTTTTCTCTGGTAGTAGCTTCTTCGGTGAGAATTCTTACTACTACGCCGCCTGATTTCGATATGCCTTTAGACTGTTCCAAATCTGCTCGACCTTCAACGACTTTTCCAAACCATCCATGACCTATTTCCCTAAGATATTTGAGTTTTTCTCTGGGAACATAAAGCTCGTTGGAGTTAAACCATTCGCTACATGGTTCTTGTAGAATAGAGTAATCCGTATCTTGATCCTCGATACGCGGTGCTGACAAAGGTATTGCTTTATGTTTTGGAACACTTCTAGTTCCGGATACGATTGAATCCACTGGTAAGGGTTCAAACTGAATCCTTTCGGAAGCAGCTAATGTTCTGGAGGCATCTAATTCCAATCCTTCGACAGAGCGATCGAATGCATTTTCTTGTCCTGTACTGCTCCCATCCTTGAATTCCTATAACGATATAACAGTGTCGTTTTATATGCTTTTGCATAATTATAGCATGCTATGATACAGACATAAAGATTTCTTGCTAATGTACTACGCATGCTACTTATAAATATAACTAAAAAGGAGTTAAAAACTTAAGGCGTTTCTATATATAATAATTTAGAATTATAAAAGATATAATCAAATCTGTTTAAGATTCAAAGAGGTATCATTAAATTATAAAGATCTAGCCCTACAGTAATATATGCACTATTTTTATATGTACTAACAGTACTAAACTCTATCTATAAGAACTTATCAAATATAATCTAAATAAGAAACAATTTTTTCATTATTTAGGAATACATATAAAATATTATTGTATTAGTGTATATATACATATATACACACACACATATATCAATAATAATTTATAGATACAGATTCTTCATAGATAGAATCTGTACCACTTTTAAGATTAGTCAAATATTAATTTTGTTTACATTCTCGTTTTAATTGGTAATTTATGTGGCAACAGATAAGGGACCTGCAACATCAATGTTACCTGATTGTATTTTTCTGCTTTGTCCTATAATTAAAAAATGCAGAGATTGGTGTTAGAGTTCCAAAACAATGTAGAGTTCGAAAACGTCACTTTTTCTATGTTTCTTAGGTATGAAAAATTAAGTATAAAAATCTTTCCAAATTACCTGAAATCCTTTGGGTCTTCTATGTCTTTGGCAACAAAGACATCCAGCTAAAGTTAATGCCGTGGCGGTGACACTCGACAGAGCAATCGCATAACGCATCCAATAATGTTCCCATTGCCAGGAAGCACGTCCTTGTGATGAATCTACGATAAGAATAAAATTATTCAATGCTAACTCTAATATTTAGTATCATTACTACAAGTTGTACTCGTACCGTTCTTTGTCGCTACACTGGACTGTATTAAAACTTTCTATCTATACTTTCATCAAACTTTAAATTTATGTTTCACTATTTTTTTTTAAGTATAACAAGTTATATTAGTTTAGCCACAAAGAACCGACTTATATATGGAGGCTTTTCATTTAATGACACAAACATTTTTTTCTTTCTTGGCATTCATGTGTAACACAACAGTGTCAACTTGTGTCAACTTGTGTCACAAATGGAAAGCATCCTATATTTTTGCTTGTCAATGCCACCAGCAGTTTATTTCTTTCACTTTGAAAAAATGAAAAAGGAGGAAAGTAACTAAACTCTCCTGTCTGTAGAACAGGGTATGCATATGCACATATGTGATAGAATTGAAGAAACAGCAGGTCAATTGACATTCATGACAACAGCGTGTACTCGCGAACGACGTACCAGCGACAAGCGGCGACGGTACAGGATAGGCTGCGAGCATCGGTAGACCCACCCAAAACAGCCAGCACATCCGACGTAGGTTCTGCATCGTATACCGAGACAGTTCCTTATCATCCACGTTATGATTCGGCAGCAAGCTGACTTAGGTCATTCTCATGTTCGCGCTGGCGGTGGCGGCGACAAGCCGCGACCGTAGAGACGGCAATTCGATAGTCGTCACAGACGTTCCACAGGTCGACAACGCGCTCATAGTCTTCGCTCCGCATGCACCTTGCGCACCTTGCGCCTTCGTAGCGACAGCGTTGGCGAAAGGTAGCGAAACGTACGGCAAGACCTATCCGGGCCGTGCATGACACGGTACTCCCGTAGCGGCGTCGCGTCGCGTCGCGTCGCGTGACGTTGCGTCGCCGACGAGCTTTGACACTGGAATTACTGGAACTGCTGGAAGATCACTTTACGTATCGTGTGAAAAGACATGCCCTTCCTCGGTTCCTTCTCCACGCCAGGCACTCCGCGCATCGTTCCCGTTTTCCCGAACGGAAAAGTGCTCGCCTAGAGGGAGAAAGCGCCGACAGATATCACTGTCTTCACGTGTCGATCGCACATTTACATGTCAATTTATGTACACATCTGGAGGGCTTCTTTCTGCGATTTGTATATGTTAAAAATTCATTTGACATTATTCTGCATTATTCCATGGAGAGGGAAATAATTGGGTGTGAAATATTTACCCAGGAGAGGGGATGTATCAGATGTATGTATAGATGATTACATGAAAAGGACACGAGAGTGTGATTAGCGATACGCCATGTTGTTGACACAGTTTCAGATGTTGAATGAAGAAAAACATTGATCATTGGTGGTCAACAATATGACGCATTGTGTTTAAATTAGCGCATTCGGGTTTCTTGATGTCATGCGAAAGCGTCATTTCACGTATGAATGTTTTGTTGATTTGTTATAATCTCACATTGTTTAAAATTAAATGTTATTGATCAATTGAGAAAAATGCAAATTTAGTGCTTTATCATATAAATTAGTATTTTATTTTAATCTAGAAATATGCTACATTTATGTAAAAATTGGTTAGTAAGTGCTAGACGGATAAACTGTCAAATTTGAGAAATGGAATGGATACTGTGGATGGTCATTAAAAATTGCCATTTTTTAATTAAACTTCGAAACTTTGAAATTAAGGGTTTTAAAATTTGCATCAAAAATTAATTCTATATCATGCCGTTTTGTGGCGTTGAGATCGAAGACGAGTGCCATATTCTTTCTATGTATAATATAGTCGCTGACTTTCTCCCCACCATCTTGAAAAATCTTACACCGATTCGATAGTCGATCGACATCCGACAGTCATTCTTCTTTCGGTTCTTCTCGCTATACCCTATGGTTGATTCTATACTACACACACGTGGTAAGTATTGAATACAGCTTGATCTTTATTATCGAATTTTTTTTTAGTAATCCGCTGTGTCAGAATATATATTTTACAATCATGATGTATTTTTAATGATTAAATGTATTTGCAACATAATATTATTTACAAATAACCGTCTTTTATGATCTTTGAGTGCATATAATCTACCGTCTATATAAGGATATATATTCTGACATAAATGTGATTTAGCTTTTCGAAATTCTTTGTATTACAATTTACATTATTTGCTTTTGATTGAAAAAATTTGTTTTATTACATAAATGTCGAAAATGATGTATAATCATCGAGATCTATGAACACCATGATTTGCATAATATTTATCCAACTGATCATTATTTAAATCAACCTGAAAAAACAATTTTAATAGAAAATAACAATTCTTACTAATACAATTATTTTATTGTTTAAGTTGTCCGTAATTCACAAGTGAAGCAGTATCTTGTGCGAGAGAAATGAAGGTATTTATATATTTTTCTATATTATCTTAAATTTTAAATTATATTTTAAATTAAATGATGCTATTTACTATCACCAAGATCTATGAATGCTAATTAGTGCTGTGATTAGCCATGATATTCCAATTTGCTACTTCTGATATCGTAAAGTTTAGCAAAATATATAAGATAGATAATATTGCTCAGTAATTAATATAGAATTTATTTTGTTCAAGGTTTGCTGAGTCTCTGAAATTGATAATGGCAACAACTCAAGGTAATTTTTATTTACTATTAGGTCAATCCAGAAAGTTCTGTCCATCAGCGGCGAGTAGCTCTAGCTGGAACTGTCGATAACTCTAATATTTAAACCATTCTTAATTTTTTAGTTTTACCATCTGCCAATAAAATTCAGTATTTAAAAGTATACATTTGCATCAATAACATTGCTTTTTACTGTATCGAAAATGTCGACATTTGAGCCAAATAAGCGTCATTTGCGCGAAGTGTTAATCTTTTGCTTCAAATGAAAAGTCAAAAATCAAAGTCTTCCTTCAAAAGGAAGAAAATTGCAGCTGAAGCTCATCGAATGCTTGTAGAAGTTTATGATGATAGTGCTCCTTTTGATAAAACATGCAGAGAATGGTTTTGACGTTTTAAAAGTGGTGATTTTGATGTGGAGGACAAAGAGCGTTCTGGATGGCCAAGAGAATTTAAAGACGAAGAATTGCAGGCATTGGTGGATGAAGACTTATGTCAAACGCAAAAACAATTTGCAGAAGAATTAGATTGTGTTCAATCTGTTATTTCCGATCGTATGAAAGTTTTAAGAAAAGATGTACAAAAAAGGAAAATAGGAATCTTACACTGAACTGAAGCCAAGAAACATTGAAAGGCGAAATTTTGCTTGCTAAGCAACAAAGAAAAGTTTTTGCCGAATTGTGACTGGCGATGAAAAGCGGATCTATTTCAATAACTCCAAACGCCGAAAAACTATTTACGATCCAGACCAACCATCGACATCGACGCCAAAGCGGAATATCCACGGAAAGAAGGCAATGTATTTGATAGGATCAGAAAGGTATAGTGTACCACGAGTTGTTGAAATATGATCAAACAGTCGCAGGGGATCTCTCCCGAGAACAAATTGTCCGTTTGAGCCGAGCATTGCATGGAAAACGACCAGAATATGAAACGAGACAGCATAAAGTGATTTTGCTTTATGACAACGCTCAGCCTCACGTCACAAAACTTGTCAAGGAAACGTTAGAAGCACTTCGCTGGCAAGTGCTATCCTATGTGGCTTCTTCATCAGACTGTGTCCCTTTCGACTATCACTTGTTTCGATTGATGGCATATGCACTTGCAGAGGAACACTTCAATTCTTATGAAGACGTCGAAAAATGGATGTCTCTGAGTGGATAGCTTCCAAAGATGAGTCATTTTTTCATCGCGGAATTCGCTTACTGCCTGAAAGATGGGAAAAAGTTATCCCTAACGATGGGCAATATTTGGAGATACTTTTTCATTTTGTTTTTTAAATAAAACCTACTTTTTGCAGAAAACGGAACTTTCCGATTGACCTAATATATAAATTTAATTCCTTTAATTATATATTTTATAATATGTATTATATTTGAAAATGATAATTATCTAAGATCTGTGAATGCTAATTAATTTCTTTAGTATTTATTAACTAATTATATTAATCAATTTATAGAAAAAATATAGCATAACATATTTATAGAAACATCTAATAAACATATTAATATTAGACAATAAAATTATTTCATGAAATATTATTCTTTTATTTTTTAAGAAGAAAATATTTAGTTTTAAATCCTCTTAATCTTCTAGTATTCTTATAATAATTTTTCAACGCTTTTATATCATTTATAAAATTGCAAAATTAAATTGCAAATATTAATAAAATACTAAAGACAAAATGTATAAAATTAATATTTAAGATATTATTTTCATGGACAAATTTTAATAAAAAAGTGATGAATCTTCAAAGTATCAGATTGCTTCTTTAAGGGGGCAGATGAGAAATAAAAAATCGAAAGTCTATATTCCTTTTATTTATTGTGAGATAATACATTCCAATAATTTTTTTTATTGAATGTGTATAGTTTTAGTATAGTTCTTTTATTTTATATTTTTCCATATCATCTTAAATTTTAAATTATATTTTAAATTAAATGATGCTATTTACTATCACCAAGATCTATGAATGCTAATTAGTGCTGTGATTAGCCATGATATTTCAATTTGCTACTTCTGATATTATAAAGTTTAGCAAAATATATAAGATAGATAATATTGCTCAATAACTAATATAGAATTTATTTTGTTCAAGGTTGGCCAAGTCTCTGAAATTTATAATGGCAACAACTCCAGGTAATTTTTATTTACTATATAAATTTAATTTCTTCAATTATATATTGGGTTGTTCGGAAAGTACTTTCGTTTTTTCCCAACAAAGGACTTAATTGTATTTTTTCACAGCCAACTTCACACTTAAGCCGCATAATCATTATATATTTTGACAGCTGATATAGCAAGGCTTGCTTGTGAAAAAAGTTCGATTGATTCTACGCAGTAGTTTTT